CTGGTGAGGTTCTTTGTCTTACCAGCGATAAAGCATCAACTAATTTATCCTTCGAAGTTTCAGTTTTTTGCTTTTGCATATTCCGTTCCATAAATAATATTCTGAAACGTGATGTATAGATATCTTAAAATGATAAATCACTTTATTAGAAGTTTAAATTTGCTTTTATAGCTCAATCTATTATCATAATCCTATTTGACAATTGCTCATAAATCCTCCGAGGAAATTTACGATGATATCTGTCAAGTCATGCTATTTAATCCTTTCGCTAGTAAGAATGTCGATAGTTTAGATGATTGACTTTGATCAATTAGTATACACTAATTTTACTTACTTAAAGTTTTCGTGCATACAGACTTTCATCTTTCAACACACTGTTTACTTGTTGCCAACTCCAAAACGTAAGTTAAGAATAGATATTATTAAATTGTGAATATTTAAATAAATGATGCCGTAAAAATGATTGCTTGATCATCATAGAGTTACAATCGCGTGAATAAGTAAGCTATGTTTATATCGCACTATGGTACTATTTATAAAAAATAATATCCAACAAAGAAAAACTATATGGAAATGTTACTTTGGTAAGAAATTAAGGAAGAATTTGTGTATCCAAGGTGACATACGATAAGCAGATCCACTCCGAAAACGAAAATTCACAGTGATAACCGAAAGAACTATTGAAAGTGAAACAAGTATTATTGTTGTGATCAGATAGCGTCCAAACATAGGCATTACTAATGAAGTTGGCGGTATTATATCAATTAAAACCTTCAAATATTATGATGATAAAACGTTGTGTAGGAATTGATAAGTTTTTGTATCAGTCAGATAGGAAGACCTTATAGTCTGTAAAATCTCATTCTTTAGACAGGTAATTTCATTATGCAGTAATATTTTTTACTTAAATAATGATCATCTCTAATCTATTCAATTCTATCACTCATAAAAAATAATAACAAAAGAGGTTAAGCACATGTTCAGATGTGAATTCTGCAAGAACTTCAAAGGAATATTTCAGACTTGGAAATTTCTATGATCTTAGCTAACAGTTTTTTGCTTAAAAAAATGAATAGTTATAGAATGACTTTCATTCTCAAAAAAATTGAAAAATTGTTTAGATAGGAATATTTCTCCGAAAATTTACATATGTGATAGAAAAGTGATCATGAAAATATCGGAAATAAAAAAGAAAACGATAAACAAATTTTAAAATAGGGAAGATTGAAGTTCAATTGTATTGTCGTTTTCTACTTGTTCTCTCTTTAATTAAGGCATGTTATGAGAACTTCCAAGCTAAACTACACATTTCTAAATGCTTTCAAAAAGTTGGACAAAATTAAGCAGAATGTGAAAAAACTTTAACTATTGATTGGATAATTAGAAATGTCTTTGCTTAAATAAAAAGATCGAGAAACCTAGATTTAAAAGTGAAGTTATCAGAGTATCAAAAATCTAGTACTATTAAACCATAACTATGGCTTTTTTGAGAAATTAAATTGATATATTATGTAAAATAGTTGCTAAAAACTTAACAATATAATAAATTTTGATGGAAGTGAAATTGAATTGCAATTTAATTTGTGAGGAGTAAATTTCTTAACAGACAGTAATAAAAGTAGTTAAAATGAAATTGATTTTGTATTTTTAAGCAAACGACCATAAAAAAAGTTTCACATATTCTCCTGCTTTTGATATTTAACAAATAGCTGCAGATAAGTTAAAAAGAAACTCACCAAAAAGAATACTGTTAGTGTAACCAAGATAGAGATTGAAAATGTTATTTTATGATCAGTTAAATAAAAAACAGTGGTGGTAAGGAGAGATATTAGGAAGCAGGGCACGATCAGATTACAGGTGAAGAAAAGTGTTTTCCGATTTAATACAAAATAATAAGTAATATCAACATATTTTTCCGGACCACAACAACTTATATAAAGAACAGAATGTCGAGCTGATGATAACGATAATAAATCCCATTCAGCAGATCTAAATGATTGACTCTTTTTTTAATTTCAAAAAAATATAGAAACAAACTGCTTGCTTCTTTTGTTAATGTTAAATTTTGTTTTGCATTTATTTGTGCTATAAGATGAATAAATCTAATGGTTAAAGATGATTGATAATTTATGAATTTAATAAATCTTTTTCTAGAAAATGCTTTTTATAGCAGCTACAATTAATAACTACTGTGATTCGGTACCATAATATATAATAATAATAAAATGATTACTGATAGAAGAAACTGAGATCCATGCCTATTTTCATTGTTTCAACATTTTGACCATATTTGTCTATTCCACTTATTACTTGATCTGTTAAAAGACAAAATGTTATCAATTTTATAAAATAAATAACAAACAAATTTCAAATCCAAAAATATTACTATTTTCTGAGTGAAAACATAAACCTTGTGGAAGTTGTTTTAAATCGACATAATAACCAGTATAAGACCAAGTACCAAATTTCATCTCGCATTGCTGTGAGTCATATGGAAACCAAGTTACATCGATCTGAATATTTTTTAGCTAACAAAAATAAGAACAAGAATTAATCAATTCACTTTGACTTAATAAGAGGAAAAAAAAAACTTACCGGACAAAATGATTTATAAATAGCCGGTGGCTGCCACAGAACACGTCCATCATAAGCGACAAGAGCATCCGTAAAAATCGTTACATCCGGATCACCTGCTGCACTGTAATAAAATTAATTTTGCCAAATTCATAGGCAAAATTTTTCTAATTTCCATATTTCTTTCTCACTGTCAACAATTAATTCATAATACTATTCGTACTTGTTATATAATAGAAGATCAGGAATCCAAATTCGATCGCTGGGGATATACAACATTGTGATGCCACCATATTTCGATGGATTCCAAATTAATTTGGAATCATTCCACTGCTGAAATCATGAATAAAAAAGAATAAGAAATTCATGAAATCATGAATAAAAAAAAGAAAAAATGAAAAAAAGAATAAGAAATTGGAGTTTTTTTTTTCTCATAGCAAATAAAAAATTTGAAGCAGACTGATTGTATGGTAAAAAGAAATTACCATCTCAAGCCATAAGTTTGTTGTGAGAATTTGATTCTTTTCATCCTGAAAAAGAAAAATCATCAGAGATTAAAAAAAATCGATGCTACAACAGTTAGCACTAGCTGACTACATCAATGATTTGAATTTTAATTTACTTTATCACATTTGTGATTTGAATTTCAATTCACTTACCACATCAATGATTCGAATTAATGATGCGCCAAGATTTACTGTAAGAACATCAGTGCTATTTTTAATTGGACGCGGAATTTTATTATAATCATACAAAAGATCCTGATATAATTGGCCTTCTAGTTCCGCGAAATTTCTAGTCATCAAAGCTGGCTTATTGATCAGTAAAAAAAATAAAACATAAAAGCATAGTTCAATTTTGATCATAGAACTCTGAAAAAAAAAAAGATTTAAGTAAAAATGGATAGATACTGCAATATTGTTGTAAATGACGATTTTTTTAAAGATAACAGTATGAATTTGAATTTCATCGTTTTAAAGTTGTACACTTAAATATTAATAGATTATGTCTACTTTATGTATCTTCAGCTACTTAGGTATATCATTACACTATTTGGCATAGTATCTTAGTGAGAAAAATTTTGTGCATTAGCACATCTCTGGCTATCACATACTTTTTTATTTAAATAATTCTAAGTTTTTGCTAATTAATTTCAAAATTATTGGTTTTAAATAATTATTTCAGAAGCATGAAATATAAAAATGCAGCCTGATAGTAATTAATAAACTGTCAAATGATAATAATAATATTCAGGAAGGAGAAAGGTTTGCAATACTTTTTCTATTAAAAGTTTTTAAATCAATGAATGAGTTTCCACATGATAGCTGAATGGTTTATTGAACATTTAATAGCCTAAACAAATGACGAATACATATTAGACATTTCTATCGACTATTATTGGAGGAAAGCATATTATGCATGGTGAATGCTTCCATTCCTTTACATCTTCCTCCCTTGATAACCATCTGCACAAGCTAACTATCGGCTAATCCAATCTTCATTGATTTCTCATTTCACCTACTCTTCCATTTCACTTCATATAAATCTTCTACTAGAAGTGTTGTGTATTGTAACAAGACCAGGATGTTTTTACATCGAAATATGAATATCAATTTAAGGGTTAGAATATTTGTTGAATGGTTATTTATGTAATGCTCAGGAAGCGTATTGATTTGAATATAGTCGAAACGTCACTGATAACACTGATCTAATGTGATATGTAAGGTTATGAATTTATCAGATGAGTTATATATACTTGTCAATAGTGTTATATACGTTCAAATGTTTTAAACATATCTTTTATATATTTTTTAAGCACCAATGTTTAAAACAAAACAATTATTGCTGACAGACATAGCCAATAATGCTAGCACTGTGAAGGCTAGCATTATTACAGTCATTTGTATGCCAATATCTTCCATTCATTTCGGTTCCCGCAATTACACACGAATGTATTGTGTTCGGTTCATTATCACCCCATAATTGATATCTTAATTTTGTACCATCTGGCCATTTCCATTCGTTACCATCATTCGAAAGGCCAATCCAAAATGGATGCTTGAAATGAAAGTTAGCTGAAAAATTGCAACAGATGAAGTATGAATACATCACTAATACTATTGCGATTAATTGTAAATAATCAATGAATGGTTATTTTTAAAACTAATGAAAGAGATGAAAATAGCATGATGAAATGTAAAAATATGAAGAAAAACTTGCAATACAAAAATTCGGTGATATCTTTATTAGCGATCGTTACTAACACCGCTCCCATATTCATACAGTTCTCTTTAGCTTCATAATATGTGTAGCTGCTTTCGTCCATCTGAATAAATAATTTTAAAATGATTGAACTGTATAATATTTCCTATATATTTGTTGTATTAAGTTATAAAAAAGATAGTTTGACAAACTGCAATGACTTACTTGAGTGTAACATCGACCTCGGAAAAATTTCCAGCTACTGTCACACCAATCTGCAAACTATTTTTATATGAGTTTATAAATTATATGACTACAATAATATTGCTATTTGTAGCACATAATTAATGTATTTTAAAACATTATAGCTCCTGTGAGTGTTATAGATGAAGTCATTTCGTATAAAATTAGACTTAGCATTGAGAATAGATCATTTGTAAGCTTTTTTTTTGAATATTTTATTAAATTTATTAAATGATGTTATTGCTAAATTTACATTCTGTTTCTGACGTTAAATCACTTGAGTCGTCCACTGTGTGTTGTAAATCAGTTATTGATGAATCATTTGAAGAATCTGATGGATACGAGCTTTCCATGTTGACAATCTTCGAATGGTTCTTTGAACTGCTTTCGATCTCAGAAATAATTTCTTTGGGTGAGTCACTCGTTGTACTTAACTCAGGGATATTGGTCGAAAAAATTGTAGAGACTTCTTTTTTGGTTTCATTTATATTGCTGTCATTTTTAACTATAACGGTGAACACAGATTCGTTTGTAGTTACGAGAGAAAAAAATTCCGTTATTTCGTCTTTGGTAGCATTTTCTGACGCAGAGGATAAAGTCGATAATCCGTCTTGAGAGGTAATTTCTGTCATATTTGATGGTGGAGGCACTGTAGGCATTGTATCATTATTGATGACTTCTGTTACGGATAATGAAGAAAACATTGATGATGTATCATTAGTGGTACTTTCTATTATGGGAAATGTCGGAAACCTCTGTGTTGTATTGTCTTCAGAGGTAATTTCTATCACGGGAAATGAAGGAAACGTTGATAATAAGTCTTCAGTGGTAATTTCTGTCGTGGAAAATGAAGAAGACATCGTCGATGATGTATTGTCCTCCGTTTCATTTTTTATCATAGGAATTGTTAATAATGTGCCCTCAGAGACAATTTTTGTGGCAAGAGATGAAAGAATGGTGATTTCTGTCGTAGAAGAGATTTCCGCTATTATTCTGGTCGAAGTATCGGTTGCTATTCCGTCAAAGATATTTGTTTCGCTTGTAGAGGATGGAAGATCAGTCGTGCTGTTTTCTTCCGATACTATAATTTTTCCAATATCTGTCGTAAAATTAGAAAGAAACTCGGTTGTTATTTCGTTCTTAATATCATCCTCATTCTTATGTGCCAAAATACTTTTCGGTAGAATCTCCGTTGAAATATCAGTTAAATTCATTTCATTATCAGCTGGAAAATTGATCTCTGGTTTTTCAATTCCATCAGTGTCATTTTTGGTGTCGTTTTTTGTCAGTGGAGTGATGCATATGCCATCTTTTGATTCATTTAATTTTGAACACACCAATTCTGCGAAGCAATGATCATCTGTTAAACACGCATCTCCTAAACATATTTGCAAATAATTTCAGCATTCTTTAAAAAATTATTTGTTGCCTGAACAAATAATTTCGTTTTGGAAAATTTAACATGTTAACCACTTTGCTGAATATATTGTTGCAAAAAATACAAAATGCTAATCAAAGATGTATATCAATTTAACACCAAATACTCAAAAATGGCATGAAAGTTTTCAAAAAAGTGCCACCAATACAAAAGTCTCACCAAGGTTACTATAAGGAAAACAATATCCATTCCAACAAAATTCTCCATCTATACAATCCCGATTGGTCTTGCATTCTGAAAAAGTGTTGACAGCAGCATTAATAATAATTTTTATATAAATTACAATTACTATAATATTTAAGGATAAATTTTCGTTCTTTCGAAATCATATTTATATTTTTTCAACATGTTGCATATTACATTAATATTTTATTTTCATGTTTGGATATTGTATTTAACAATAACTGTATACCTTACCATCACTATTTCTAATAAAAATATTTAGTGGTGGATCTACAGCGACATTTATTATTTGAAGTGGCGATTGCTTCTTCGTTAGGAAAACTTTTTGACTTTTCATGCAAGTGGAATGATTGCATGCTGAAAAATCATGAAGCTCTAAAATCAATCAGAAAAAAAGGCTTGAAAATTTTGAATGAAAAAGAAGTATGTGAGGAAAAAGTTATAATTTTGCTTTGCTGGAAAAATTCTTATTGTGAAAAACGATTTAAAAAGTACTTGTTCTATTCACAACTTTTGATTGCAAATTTTCACCTCCTGAATTGATAACTTTCGGACCTGAAGGAACTTTAGATGGATAAATTATGAAAAAAAAAAAACTGAAAAATTTACAGTAGCAAGATAATTGATGTTTTATTCTTTCAATATTATCTTTAAAGCACGCTAACTTTACAGTAATTTTAGAAATTACAATTTATAAAATTTACACCTCTTTACGCTACCTTACAATTGAATTCGAATTATAATTTCTTTTCTATTAATTAGGACAAGGATTTATTCAATTAGATTTTAACGGTAAAGACTATTTTTGTGAACTGATTGCTTTATAAACAAATTTTAGTTTGTAACTTGGTGAAATTGATCGTGCATCACTTGATAAAATGGATAATAAGCCATATATCTTCATGATAGAGTGATATTTTTTGATTGAAATAAAATTACTAAAATATCCAATAATGAAAAGTTTATGATTAGATAGCTATCATCTATTAGAATTATATTCCACGTTCGGTGTCTCTTCATAATTTGCGTCACATACAATTTGTAGTCATGAAAATCCATTAATGAAGAATGAGAGATACTTCTTTTTCTGTCAATGCACCGATGACGAAACCAATAGAAAATCCACAGTTTTGGCTATTGCTTGAAATGATGTGCCGTCTTATGCTTCTGCGATGCGCACTTTTTTCTTTCATGTGTCATTTTGTCGCGACATTTTTCTCGTTCCTTTGTTACAGCCAACTTAGTCTTCCAAATTTTGGATATTAAAATTTTTGTAATGATATTTTATCACTAATGATTATTGGAATGATGCTCCTTCCTTTTGCATCAACTTCTTCATCACAAGAAACTTTATTATAAAATCAATATCACAATGATAATTTCATCATTATTACATTTTATCATATACCTAAATATGAATTTTTATAGAAAGCGTTAACGGAATTGTACACATGGTAAAAAAAATCATGAAATTTGTAATTGTTTATTGATACAGCTAAAATGATTATTTCTAAACGATAATAATTAAAATAAAAATACAACAGAATCTCAAAACAAAAAGGAAACTATTCTGATCATTTAGTATATGTCATAGTTGTTTCAAAATTTTAAGGAACTCTCACTTAACAAAGAAAAAAGTAAAATATGGTTTTTTTGATACGTCTGGATTTACTGCATGCATTTTAATAATGTACAAATGGATATATTATTAATTAAGATAATTAGCCATGCATAACTTACGTGCCCAGGCAGTCGAACTGGCAAGCAATAAAATTAGTATTAGCGAATTCATTTTTTCGAAGCTTAAACTTTGAAGAAATAATACTTGCCCAGAAAAAAGGGCTTTTTGTAAGCAATTTTTGCTTACAAAAAAGAAAGCAAAATATCATGACGTATCGTCCTCCGGAAATAGCATTTTCGAAGAGATAATACAATTCTTATGCTGAAATGTTGCGCATTTATTGTAAATAGAAAGCGGAAAAAAAAGCAATGAATTGTATAAAATTCTTTTTCTTATGGTTTTTCATTCAATTTTTGCTTATTTTCAGATAGAAATGTGGAAACAAAAAAATTTAATATTTTAAAAATAATTGATTGTGCAATCAATATTTATCGAATCGGGCCTTCTGTCTGTATTCATTTTGCTTGTTTTTCTTTCACAAAAAAATATAGATCTGACTCATGACAAAAATGTAGCTAAACAAAGTCTGAATAGGATTTTGCATTTTTAGTATTTTTTTTCTTTTCAGCAATTATATGAAAATAGCTTATACACTTCAGTAATATATGTATAGCGATTATTCATATACATTAAAGAATATGCTGAATGGATAGATCATTAAAATTATAGAGATTTTTAATATTATATTTATTTTCAAATTTTCATTTTAGTATCCTTTGTGTTTATATGCCTTGAATAGCAAATGTAAAATGCCGTTTTTTTCTAAAAAAATCAAATTGCTTATAACTAAACATTCAATGCTTAAATAAGTTGCTATAATATACAAAAAGTTTAGAATCTATACACTGTTAATTTTGATAAAGGTACAAATGCACTTTCTGAAAGATATATATGTAGTCTCTCTCAAGTGCCGTCTTCACAGTCTTCATACTAAGTCGAATTGCCTCCAGGAAAATCGACTTTTCAAGGATAATTGTGCCAACAGGACCAAAATGATAGCAGAGGCATGTAAAGACTTATACAAACACAACACTCACATCTAATATCCATCCCTGAAAGACACAACACTCACATCTAATAACCATCCCTAAAAGGCACAACAAGCTTTTATTGAAATGAATGTGAGCAGTTCCGCATATGTTGTATGTGATATCGTTGGGCTAATATTATTTTATAAGCTTTTTCAAGTGATTACTTCACAACAGCAATATCTTTTTCTGTTGATGATGTTGTTGCTATTCATGAAAATTACATCCATACTTAACGACAATTCTTCAATCTATTGTTCAGATCTTTTCCTAAATTCAGAATGTTCTTCCACGATACTCCAATACAAACATTTCTCTCTTGCAAATAAAATATTTATTAAAAATTTAAATTTTTAGAGTTTCTCCATATGATAGGCATTAAAATATCGATAGTAATTCAATACTGTTTTGTATTTGATATACGTAGTAAAAATTTTTCCATGAATCAAATAGGATGGAATATAAATATATCTCTACCAATATCAGCAATATCTTTTAGCTATTACTGTTAGTGAATTCTTTACCATGCAAAAAATTGTGCGTGTGTTTTTTTTTTTGTTAAATTGTCATCTGTCATCTTTCATTCATTTATACGTTATTATAATACCTGTACGACAAAGAAACTGTCAAATTTTCATGCTTTATCCTCTTTTCTCTTTTTTAGCACATTGACTGCTTTAATATTATGGTTGACAATTAAAGTTGTTATTAAATTAGTTCAATCGTAGATTCTGAACGGAACTTATAAAAGTTCTTTTTTAAGGCATTAGATAGATGAAGGTTGTCGGAATTGGATGGATGATGATGTAATTAATGTGTACATTCCCTTCCTCAGCAATTCCATTTTCTACTTTCCCTTTCATTTCATATTTTCCTCATTTACATTTGAATGTTCCTAAAGTATACGGAGAGTAAGATTTTATTTGGAGCAATGAAGCAATAAATACTTATTTCCCAATATCTTCCTCTGCATGTAAATATTTAGTAGTGCATGTATATGTGTTGTAGAAATTTTATCATCAAAGACTATTCTCTAACTTATACCCATTAGGTTTCAAATTATTCATCCGAAAATTCTTCTCTTCTTTCTTTCCTTTTGTCTCCACTTTTCTTTAATTCCATAATGCTCCATAGAATTGCATACAAATATAAAAAAATTTTTTTTTTTAAAAATATCATTTTTTCATATGAACGAATGTGTTTCGTCAAAGAGATCTGTATTTAAATCATTTCTATGTTTTTAAGTTAGTTTTTGGCTTGAGAAGATAGAATTGATCAAATGAGCTGTGAATTTCTTTCATTCTCAGTTGACAATTTCTCAACTCAGAATGTAATCATCATTTTTGAGATGATGTTAAATCGTCAGCATATTTAATGAGTAATCACCGATAACGTTTGTAGCTATTTGATAATTGAAGAATTAGTTAAATACTTCTATTAATCCATACATGCATAATTACTTTCTCTTTATTGTGATATCAAAGTTCAAAAGCATTAAAAGTATAGTGCTCGAGTGATAATAATGCATTCGTCAATTAATTAAGGCTGCAAAAATTTTTGAATATTATTGTGTGATATTTTAAAATAATTTCAATTTTTAGGCATATGAAACATGCTCGAAGAAGTGCATTTCTGGACGATGTTGGCTTCTCACAACGACCAGCTGTTAACGAACGGAAAAGACTTTCAAAACGTGTTTCACAAGTAGACTTGCTTTCTACTGAATTTTTATAATTATCGTAACAAATTTCTTCAATGATCATTTGCTAATTATTTATATTATGTACTCTGTGCAGAATTTTTTGCCATGATGGAAGTGAATTGTATTCTCGATATGTTAGTAGTAAAAAAAAAATCCCTTTATAATGAAATTCTTTTATCCCTTTATAATGTGGCTTGTTTGGGACCTTTCTATTACAAAAAAAGAACCATTTCAATAACAATAAAAAGAATAATAAAAACCAATATAAATAACTAAAGCCAAAACCTTCCAAAAAAAAATTAATTCTTACTGGAACATTAACCTAAAGCCAAAATTATAAATATAAGAAATTACCAAAAATGTAACAAAATAATAAAAAAAAACAAAGCAAAAACCCTATTAAAAAATGAAATATGCAAGTGAGATTCTGTAGTCATAGTAATAGTAATAGTAATTAATTAGTTAATTGTTGTTCAGGTTGTAATCGCAGCACGATGTACAGATCCACTATTATGGATTTTTAGCTCATTTCTTGGACTTTTTGTTAGCGCTCTACAATCAATACCATTAGCAACAAATGGATGGATTTATGTTACTGAACCGCGACCATACAATAAAACAAACGAAAACGGAGATTTGATGGTGCATACATGAAGTTTTGGGCTAACCTAAAACAACATAGTACTTGAAAATTTAATTTAACGTTTATTTACATCATCTCATTTCATTCTTCATTTTTATCAAAATCTTCTTGTCTTGTTATAACAACTCATATTTCATTTAAAATATAATTTCAAAAAATCATTAATCTGTTGCTATTTTTAGGACACTATATTTCTTTACAATGCAGGTTATTTTGTAATATGTCGTGAGCATAAAGAAGAAGCTGCTGAAGATATTCGATCATACTTATCAAGTAGGATCAATTTTCTTTCTTTTCGTTTAAGACTGAAAAAAAAAAAAACTTATTCAAATTTCTTTTCTACAGCATTAATAATGCAATATGGTCATAATCATATCATGTCCTATATCAGGAATATTCCGCTATATATTTGAATACATAAAATGTTTGGCGTTAGCATGGTATTTTTCAGCTTTGTACCTTTCATAGAGTCTGAGATAGCACGAAAATATGTCACTTAAGAATTATATCCATATTCAAACCATTTTTGACTTTTCCATAGTATGTTTAATTTTATTAAAAATTCTTGAATCTTCATATTTTCTTACACTTGATAACTTAATAATTATCATAACTTGATATCAATCCGTTAAAGGTAATTTTCCAAATGATATGGTACTTTCACTATTTGTTAGCTTTTGTTTAGTCATTTTTAGATGAAGAAGCAGCATATCAGTGTTACTGGAATCCAATCCTTACTGGTAAAGATCTAACAGAATTTAGTTCTGCAACTCTCGCTATTGAAGGTACACTACGACCCATTGTTAGTTAGCCAATCTTGGCTTATATAGCACATATATGATTCTAATCAAATAGTACTTATATCCTTCATATCTATTAATGTCGTCATTTTTAGGAAGAAATATTTGAATAGAATAGTTTCAGGACGTCTTGCACTGCCTACCTCAATGCATATTATTGGTGTCATCATCTGTTATATGGCATTTTATTTTGGTCTCATTGGTCATATAAAACGTAGCTCAAAAACACTTCTTGCAGCAATAATGTATATTTTTGGAGGTAAACTATATCATTTTTCAATAAAATAAATCATTTTCAAATGTATGCTATAATTTTAAATTGAAACTAAAATATATTTTTAGGTCTTGTCGTCCTCATTGGTGTTCTACAGTTCGTTTGCATTGTTGACGATGAGTTGGCTCCACGAATGAAACCAAAT